GAAGAAACGGTCACTACCTCAAGAAGTCTGATAAGAAGCTGAGCTGAGACTAGGTATGTAACAATGAAATGTCGTCCAATTGAGGACTCACTCTCTTAAACTTTAAATCTTGAAAGAAATTATTTGTTTGTGCGTGTGAACATGATTTAGTGTGGTGAATGTAAACTCAGCTGATTTCGAACAGGTAAAATGTATTCCAAAGAATTTAACATAAATACAGGAAATGTGTGCAATAGAAGTAGACTTGTGCAGACATTCACTGACCCCATGACAGAAGTGTACCTGCTGTTCTTCCAAGCCACCGTACCAACTTTCACTTCTTTCAACTTACTACTTCAGAGAGAGCAGTCATCAATATTTTTGTTACATGATGAGGTGGGATTGGATTTTGCTGTTTTTTTCCATTCTGTGTTTCTTGCTGATATCTGCAGGGATCCTCTAAAACAGGTTTCACCTACTATTTTTGTAAATGTCTGTTATAGATGGTGAAATTCATACGCAAGCTATGTTCCAAGTTTATGGTTCCAGCAGCTCTGCAGTGCCATGAGGAGCCTTGTGAAATTGCCTTTAAAGAAAAGGCAAACCATTTACCAGGTTAGTATTTGACTATTATTATGATCAAACACTGTGATATGTGATATTTAGCCTTGTACCTTATACCGATATGCTGTATCTGTGACAGGAAGAAAGTTGAACATTGGGTTCACAACCAGGGCTAAATTTAACAGATTACTCGACGAGGGTGACATCACACCACAGCAGGTGGATTCATTCCATTAAGCTGTGTTGTGTTTCCTGACAAGTGCTGTGGACTATGCACTTAAGAAGCTGCCACTGGAAGAGCCACTGATCAAGCACGCACAATTTGTAGATGTACGGCAAAGGGCTGAAAGTGACATCGAAGATGTCCTGTACTTTGTTGAAAGGTTAGTTTTTTTTCTGTAATTATTGTCTATCATCTTAGCTAAAATACCCTGTGTTTTATGATGAGGTGTGTTCACTCCTAAACTGCACATGAGATATTCTTATGTGGCTTCTCCTCAAAGATGTGTATGAACTGCTGCTGGTTGATGACTATATACCTAAAACGTAACAACTTGTAACTCTACTTTCATAAATAGGTTTCCCCATCTCCTCCCATAACATGGGCCAGAGGAGCATGACCTTCTGGGTGAGGAGTTTCTAAATTATCAGACCATGCCAATGATATCCCTGCAGGACGAAACTGAAATGGTAAGCTTCTTGGCTGAAATGGGAACCCGGAAGCATAAGGTAAACATTTTTTCCTTTTTTGACTTTCCTTTTGGCAGGTGTGGCTTGGCTACATCAGTTGCTTAAAATTGTTGCATGCATATATGTGTCATGCATGTTGCAAATTATGCATGTTTTTATCTGAACTTTGTTAATGGATCAACCTACAGTATACTTACAGTATTAATCAATCAAAAATCAAGGTATGTTTTTCCATTGTGTTTTGGTGCATTTTCCATAGGTGACAGGAGCCAAAGAATTCGAGAGGCTTGCTGCCGTCGCCAAGCTTGTCCTGGTGTTGCCCCATGCAAACGCAGATGCTGAGAGGGTGTTTTCAGTTGTGGGACTGAACAAAACCAAGAGAAGAAACAGCCTAGCATTGGATGGCACCCTGTCCTCAATAATGACCATAAAGATGGCCAATCTGGAGCCCTGCTTCAAATGGGAGCCCCCCTCCGATATCATCAAGGCCTCCAAGAAGGCCACAGGCCAGTATAACCATGCCGACAGATCATAGACAAGAGGCTCATTTGAGATGAGCCAGGTCTGCGCAGAATCGATCACCGGCGATCACCGCCCAATGCATGCTGGTTAGATTTGTGTCCGACTTGATCCCGACTTTCTCTGACGTCATGCACACGTGGGCAACGATATCCTCATGAGATCAAGGCGGCCGCAGTTCTGAGACGCAGGCAGTGCAATTGCTTTTCACCGACTGCAGGACCCAGGCGGACCCAGGACAAAATCTCACTCCAAGGTTTTTTTTAAAAGTTGGCAGGTATGCTGTCAGGTGGATGGATTATCTTGACAAAGGAGAAATGCTCACCAACAGGGATGTAAACAAAGAAGAAGAAAAAACGTTTGGGGGGGGGGGGTTCTCATCTGCACTGTTCAACCAATCCAGTAAATGTGGAGGAGTTAAAATGGAGTTTCGCCAGAGAAGAAGAGGCGAAGCTAACAGGATAACTGGTCCCAAAATCTGTATTCTCCAGCAGGTGGCGTTTTTTCTTGGCTCACCAAGGAGTTTTTGTATGAAGGTCAATGAGATTGTCGAATTTGGTTAACAATACATGTAATGGCTTATTTACTACGTGTGGCTATTTGATTGAATATACGTTTCCTAATGATTAGGTTGTTACGAGTGGACACGTGACATCTCGTCAGACCCCTTTTTTTCCCCTCGAGTTCCCAGTTGTTTTGAACACGGCATTTGAACACCTGGCTCATGCCTGGAGAAAGCATGGTTCCAAATCTGTGAAACTGTACGTTTTACATGTGGATTTTTTAAATAAATAAAAATATAGATGGCAATTTCTTTGTCTACATGCCATGTTTTTAAACAATGCAGATATTGCACTCCTCCCGAGTGGCGCAGTGGTCTGTCATAGCCGGCCGCGACCGGGAGACCCATGGGGCGGCGCACAATTGGCCCAGCGTCGTCCAGGGTAGGGGAGGGAATGGCCGGCAGGGATGTAGCTCAGTTGGTAGAGCATGGTATTTGCAACGCCAGGGTTGTGGGTTCGATTCCAGTATAAAAAATAAAAATGTATGCACTCACTAACTGTAAGTCGCTCTGGATAAGAGCGTCTGCTAAAATGTAAAATGTAAACCTGTTTTGGGTTAAGACCAGTGGCGACCCATCATTCAGGGCAGGTGGGGCCTGTTTTGCATGTTATTTTGGCATTAATACGTGTCACATATCAGTTTGCAAACAATGTAAAAAAAAATCTAACTGCAAGTGTGGTCCAAGTCTGGGTTTAAGTGTCTCTTTTCCAAGTTTAAAATGATAAACATTCACATACAACACCATGGGCCAGAAAAGGTTGAATACATTGGCCATGCTGTCAATCCAGCATTACTTCTGCCACTTTGCAAACAACTGAAAACTCGGAACTGGGAAATCTCACTCGGAACTGGGAAATCTCAGACAGTGAGTTCAAGACAACTGGGAACTCTGAAAAAAACGAGGTCCGACTAGGAAAATAAGTTTTGAACGGTCATCCAACTCAGAATTCCAAGTCGGGAATTTGGGCCACTTTCTAGAGCTCCGACCTGAAGATCACTGACGTCATGATTCAACCTTGTTTTTTCCGAGTTCCCAGTTGTCGTGAAAGCACCATCAATCCAGAGAATGCCAGACTTTGATGACAAAATTTGGCCACAAGAAGGACCGCCACGCCACCATCCTGTTCAAGTGAGCACAGCACAACAAGGTGAGTCCAAAACTGTATTGTATGCTGCTGCATAAATGATGTAATATGCCAGGGAGATATGTAACGTTATACTGTAGCTAAGAAGGTAATATTAAGTGTATGTTGTGTAGTAAGCTGTTAGTAGCCCATGTCCCTTTCCCCCTCATAACTTAGCCTACTGTTCTGACTTGGTGGTGCATATGTAGCCTACAACGTGTTTTAGAGAAATGTCATCATCGAATATTGTAAGAGCTTTCATAGTCTGTTTATATGGCCCCTTTATTTATCCTAAGGTTCTGACTTGGTGTACAGGGAGAATACTGTAAGAACGGCCAATGTTCTTATCTCTGTCGCTGTAAGAACGGACAATGTTCTTAACTCTGTCGCTGTACATTTCAAAAGTGGTGAACAAATAGTTATATTGACTAGTCCGTCTTAGCTCGCTCATTAATGTCTCATCACACTCTCTCATCTGATTGGTCGTGTGGGCGGGCCTTCTGACTTTGTGACTGTGGTAACTTTTGCCGCGTTCAAATCAACTGGGATCTCGGAATTGGGAACTCGGAAATCTCAGACGTCCGACTTCAGTGCGTTCAAGATAACTGGGAACTCGGAAAAAAACGAGCTCCGACTGGCAAAAATCGATTTGAACGGTCGTCCAACTCGGGATTCCAACTCCGGAACTTGGGCCTCTTTCTAGAGCTCCGACTTTCCGACCTGAAGGTCACTGACGGCATGATTTGACCTCGTATTTTTCCGACTTTCCAGTTGTTTTGAACGCAGCATATTGACGACCGATAAAACACGGCCAAAATACTTCCAGGTCAGGACCATCAAGAACTTGTCAAATTGAATTCAAGGGAACCTACTAAATATGTACAAAACACAACTGATAAAAACATAATGGGCAGGTGTACATACAGCAAAATTATTCTCTGTTAATCAATCTGTAACCCCTTTAAAATGTCCTATTCACGTTTCCACAATAAATTACCTTTATGTTGAAGACCTGACGAAATAATTGACCAGGAAGTGATTATCTGGCTGGAATTACATACTCGTGTGTATTTTTATACAATTTATGAACTACAGTATAAGGATGGCATCACTGTTGCTGCTGCAATCAATATAATAACATTTAAGGTAACGTTGTATGGTATGAAAACGTGTAACACTTGCATGGGATAGGATACTCGAGTTGGTCATTGTATTTGCGTTGTTTCAATATCATATAGTGTGTGGTGTCAGTGAGTTAACCTAGCTAGCTAACTGCTGTAGCTATTAGCTTGCTAGCTAGGTTAGCTGCTCAATATGTATACTTGTCATGTGATAATGTGAAATTATTTTGGACATACCCGGGTCACAAAATATTGATTTGGTAAACTGGCCATCTTTCATATGCATGTATACCAATATTTGCCCAACACCAATTTGTTGTTGACCATATCATTGACAATTGTTGACTTCCTTCTTGACAGTTCTTTCCTTGTCTCCTGCAGGGCTGTAAGTTAGCTAGACTGTAGCAGACGGACTCTACTGCCAGGACTGAACCCAGCCATGAATAGAACTCTGTGCACTTCAGTGCTGTTGACTAGTGCTTACAGAATGTGTATTTCAAAAGCCCCACGGCCCCATTCCACTGGATCCATTGGCTGGGTAGTCCCTGTCTCCTCCATGGCCCCCTCCCGGTCTTATTCTACAAACATCAAGGTTCGTTCCTACCTACAGTACATGAAGCGGAAGATCAAGCCCCCGCCAAGTCCTCCATACCCCCATGTCTGCCAGGTGGGTGACCCGGTGCTGCGAGCCCAGGCTGCAGTGGTGGACCCTGGGTCAGTACAGGGTCCGGAGGTTCAGGAGGTGATCCACACCATGGTGAAGGTGATGCGGAAGTTTGAATGTGTGGGACTGAGTGCGCCTCAAGTTGGAGTGCCACTTCGTATCTTAGCTCTGGAGTTCCCAGAGCGCATGTTGGAGGACAGCTTGCCTGCTGCACGTGAAGCCCGCGGTCTGACCACTGTGCCTCTGCGGATCTTTATCAACCCCCAGCTGCGAGTCCTAGATGGACGCACAGTTCTATTCCAGGAGGCCTGTGAAAGCATCTCAGGGTTCTCGGCCACTGTTCCACGCTACCTCTCTGTGGAAGTCTCAGGTGAGATATGTAACGTGTTCCACAGAGCAGCTAAATTTAAATCAACTTGTTTAGTGGTGTATTCATTCCACCGATTCTGTTGCAAAACTTTTCTTAAACCGAAGCAAATGGAACGAAACAGGAAGGGACCTACCTGAATTTCTCCAATAGAAAAGTTATGTTTTGCAACTGTTTGGACTAATGATTACACTGCAGATTTAATCTACCTGAAACGGCCATCTGACCTAAGTCTCTAGACCCATGGCTGGTCAACATCAAATCAATTAGGCATGTGTTTTTTTTTGTATTAATGTTTTCATTTTTTGTTTCAAAGGCTTGAATGAGAAGGCAGAGCCTGTGACCTGGCAGGTGAGCGGCTGGCCCGCACGCATCCTACAGCATGAGATGGATCACTTGGATGGAGTCCTGTACATTGACCGCATGGACAGTAAAACCTTCATTAACGTGAACTGGGCAGCAAAGATCGAGTAGCCGTTTCAAACAAACCTAGTCACCCTGATTGACCCACAGCACTTAAGGACACTTCTTAGACATAACATGGCAACAGATAAGACCATTCTGAAACCTTTCCTTTGACTGATTAAACTGTACATTCTTTATAATAAGTAATGTATTTATGAAGGCTGATTTATAGTCTGGATGAATATTCAATTATCTTGCCAGTTGGTTAATTTGTGTGGACATTTTTAAAGGAACTGAAATATTGACTAAACTGTGGTGTCACTAGGTGGCTGACCACAGAGAACATTTTGCTGAATGTTGGAAGTAAAGAAAAAACGGAATAGCTTTCATATGCTGTAGTGTCCTGCATTGGAATATCAACATCTAAAAAGCACAGAACAAGAGACATCTGTTCCCATTTTAAATCCCATTTTATTCAAATATCTTGCAGAAAACAGAACATAATGAAAACAAACACTTTGAACTCAAACCACATTTGGCAGTATTATCTTAACTCTTGAGCTGCAACATGTAATCACTGGTTTCATACTTATAACATAAGTGTAAGGCTCCAGATCCCAACAGTCAATGAGACTGGATACATTTATAATGGAAAACAAAGGCCACTTTCAGGGCAATTTAAGGTCCTACCGAGAGCCCAAAATAGAAAAATATACAAGAGTTTGGCACTTCACTTTTAATCCCTGGGTGGGATAAGGCTAATTTATAAATGACAAATTAAAGGTATTTTGAATTGAAGGCAAGATATGTTAGTGCCTTAAAAGTATTCACACCCCTTGAATTTTTCCACATTTTGTTGTGTTACAGCCTGAATTTAAAATGTATTACATTGAGATTGTCATCACTGGCCTACACACACTATACCATAATGTCAAAGTGGAATAATGTTTTTTTATTTGTATGTTTACTAGTTAATTAATGAAAAGCTGAATTGTCTCGAGTCAAATATTCAACCACTTTTTATGGCAAGCCTAAATAAGTTCAGGAGTAAAAATGTGCTTAACAAGTCACATAAGTTGCATGTACTCACTGTTTGCAATAATAGTGTGGGAAAGCAATTCACTTTTTGTCCTGAATACAAAGTGTTATATTTGGGGCAAATCCAAAACAGCACAATACTAAGTATCACTCTCCATATTTTCAAGCATAGTGGTGGCTGCATCATGTTATGTGTATGCTCGTAATCGTTAAGGACTGGGGAGTTTTACAGGATACAAAAGAAACTGAATGGAGCTAAGCACAGAAAAAATCCTAGAGGAAAACCTGGTTAAGTCTGCGTTCCAGCAGACACTGGGAGTTGAATTCATCTTTCAGCAGGACAATAACCTAAAACAAAAGGCCACATCTACACTGGAGTTGCTTACCAAGAGGACAGTGAATGTTCCTGAGTGGCCGAGTTACAGTTCTGACTTAAATCTGCTTGAAAATCTATGGCAAGATCTGAAAATGGTTGTCTAGCAATGATAAATTACCGATTTGACAGAGCTTGAAGAATTTTGAAAATAATAATGGGCAAATGTTGCACAATCCAGGTGTGGAAAGCTCTTAGCGAGATTTACCCAGAAAGACTCACAGCTGTAAATCCCTGCCAAAGTTGATTCTAACATGTATTGACTAAAGGGGTTGAATATTTACCTTATCAAGATATGTTAGTGTTTTATTTTCCATATTTATTTTTACAAATGTTATAATTTTTCTTCCACTTTGACATGAGTATTGTGTAGATCATTGACAAATAAATCAATTTGAATCCCACTTTGTAACAACAAAATGTGGAAAGAGTCAAGGGGTGTGAATATTTTTGGAAGGCACTGTAAGTGATTGCCATTTATTTTTATAATAATATAATATGCCATTTAGCAGATGCTTTTATCCAAAGCGACTTACAGACATGCGTGCATATTTTTTTTATTTTTTTAATGACGGTATATTGATTCTAAGGAGCCTTTTAGGCATTGTTTTAAATCAGTGCTTTTCCCAATGTACATCAAGTGCCTTTAAAATGATTTCTAAATTTAAACTGAGGATGACCAGTGAAAATGTTGGCCACAAGCACAATTAAGTGGTGTTCTATACCAACAGTCCTTGCAGTACTCAGCACTGCAGTACCTACACAGGATTAAAGGGACTCTTTTGCACCCTGGCCTACTTGTGCAGACACCCAATTGAAGGATCACATGGTTTCCCTGACACATCTCCACCTCTTTGCAGGCATTAGTGTGGAAGACTCTGCAGGTGAGGCAGGAAACCTAAGGATCTGGATTTGGAAATGGGCAGAGGGGTAGGGCTTCTTGCTTCAAAGGCATCAAGTGGATCCTTGTGAGGTGGAGACACACCTCCATCTCTAGGGCTTCCTTGCCTTGGTAATAATCCACTGCTCTCGCTCTGCTCCTGTAGGACTGTCACCATCACTATGTTTTACTTTATGGCCCTCTTCTTTGCACATATCCAGAAGGGGACAGCTCACGCTATGAAAGGTATTGCAATTCTTGCAATGTTGGACAGATACGCCTAGACTAGAGTAGGACTTCATGCAGCTGCAGATCTGACTGTCCCCTGGATGCTTGTGCAGACAGCGAGTGTGAATCCACACTATCCACACTGATTTGGCCAACTCTTTATTTGGACTTTGCTTGCTGGCGTTTCTGGTTGGCACTAACTGGCAGCTCAGTGTGGAGACACAGACATTCTCGCTTTGAGAGGAAACCCCATTGCTGTCCCTTGTAATGGATGGGGATGTGTTGCCGCGGGCCTCCCCGATTGGTGAACAGAGAGGATGTCTGTCAAACCCAACTTCTTTATACACATGAAACTCCTCTGCTGTGTACAGATCCAAGTCCAGAATGTCATCTTCCAGTGGTATGGTCTCTAACCTTCTCTTGGTGTTATCCAGCGCTATCTGCAGGCTGTGACCTTGCTGTCTCTCCTGTACCAGGTTGAGCTCCCACTCCACCCCTCTGGCCTGGGGCTCTATGGCAGACTGCAGGACGAGGCACTCACAGCATGCAGCGAAGAAAGCACAGGACAGGTGGAGGAGGATGTCCACTGGAAGGGCTGGGGAACGCAGCCTAAGCGCTTCACACCGTCTGACCTCTGAAGCATGGTATCCAAGCAACCCAAAAATATTTGCCACCTGCTGCATGGACAACGCGGGCTTGATGTAATGTGTGAACATGCCTGAGAACATCTGGAAGGAGGGAGGATTTATTGCTATTAAAATGTAGACAGTACAAATAATTTTCTGGACAAAGGCAAAGTCCCTTTCACACAGTTGAAGCCAAAACATTAGTGATGAAAATCAAGATTATAAATTGCTCATCAGTCAGGTATATATCCAATACAGCTGCCCCAAATTAGCATACCTTTACCACTCTATTCCTTTCTCCAGGGACACAAGAACAGGTTGAGGGCTGCCAGTTCCAGCACTTAAAAAGCTCTAGCCAGCCCCGTCAATCTGACTTGGCCTGAGGCATATGGTGCTTTCTTGACTGAGTACTCCATCACACTGAGGGGTTCCAGCCCAAATAAGGAGTGTGTGTCCAGGGCACAGCCATCCCTCAGCAGTCCATCTACCTCCTTACACAGTTCCTCATCTCTGCATATCAGGTTCCAGTCACCCTGCTCAATCCGGTACTCCAGGCTGACCCGGTACAGTTCCACCAGATCCCTGGCTTTCTTCCCAGGAACACTCATCTCAGCTATATAGAAAACGTAACTAGGCCAAAATAGTAAAATCAGAGGTTTATCAATGAAACGTCTTGACTGGACTCCACTACAATTATACTTTTTATAAATCACACATCTGTTTATCAAACATTCCCATAAGAATATGATGCTCCCATAGCATAACATTAGGGGTGAAAATGTCACCCTCCCTAAATTAAAGCGAAAAGTGACAAGATAACATTAGCTGTGTTCGAAAACTCATACTAACCGCACTAACCATACTATTTGTGACGTAAATTGAGTATGTAGTATGCTTATTGGTCATAGTATGGATATAGATAGTATGCCAAAAGTTCCCGGATGTCGTACTAAATTCGCCAAAATACGAAGTATACAAGCAGTGGACACTATTTACGTGCTTTTAGGGCCCATAATGCAATTCTTCCGAAAATGGGTGTGGCTTCACAACGTTTTCAGAGAGGAAGGTCGACAGAGTACGTTGGACGGAAAAAAGATGGCGGAAGCGGATGATGAAGTGGATTCTGAATCTAATGGCGGTAGAATCAAGGAGGATTGGAATATTGTCCAAAAGAATGGAAAACGGGCCAAGTAGACTACAGTGATGAGAATGTCACTTCGTATCTTGTAGGAGTACGGTTTGTAAATGAGGACCAGCTGATCGAATTACCAATCTTGAATCAATTTGAGATATCCAAACTGGTGGAGAGAGTGCTGGGTAGAGTGAAGGCTGTGAGGATCACGAGAGATAGGCTGGTTTTGATTTTTTGTTATTCTGAGGATCAGAAGAAACGTGTGTTAAGTCTCACCCAATTTTGATACGTTTGAAGTGTTGTGTGTGTCTCTTAGGAACAGGGCAACCCTCAAGGGGGTTATATCTGGAGTCTTGTGGGAAGTAGATGTTGAAGAGATGCACGTCGGATGACTCGAGTGGTGAATGAAGAAAACGTGGAGTCAGAGCATTTATCCCAAGACCAATGCAGTGGGATCATTGTAAAGCTTTTGGTCATATTTCAAGTGTTTGCAGAAGGGAGAAGCTGAGATGTCCAAGTTGTGGAAAATATAATATTATGTGTTATAAAAGTGATGAAAATGTGACAATTGTGGTGGGAACCATGAACCCACGTCTTTCGAATGCCCCACAAGGGTGAAAGAGAATGAGGTGGCCAAAGTCAGGGCTATCCAGAGCATATCATACACAGCAGCTGTTAAAAGGGTTGAGGGTTTGAATGGTGCACTTGAAGAGTCCAGGGTGGTGGATAGGCCTTCACTGCAGGCTGCAGGGGTTGCCTTTCACCAGCAGGATCCTGACATTTTAAAGGTTAAGAAGGTGGACTTTGTGGCATTTATAGCTATGGTGATAAATGGCACTGCCAAGGTGGAGAGAAGGTCAAGGAAGATATAAATCCTTGTTGAAGCGGCGGAACGGTTCCTGGGGCTGAAAGATTTCTCGGCTAAGGAGTTACATGGAATATTGTCACAAGCCGTACCACCCTCTCAGGCCCTAGAGCCTGAGAAGGGAGATATGGAGAATTGAAATAAGTGGGAGTTTTCTCAATGTACTATTTTTATTTGGGTGCATTAAGTTAGTTTCCCTATCACGTATGGATGTTCTTTTCACCTTGTTTTGGTTTCAACTCGTCCAGTTGGTGGCGGCAATACACCTTTTTGGGTTGTAGTCCGCCATAAAACCCACAGAAGAAGAAGGTTTTCAGATTTGAAGAAAACATGCAGCCGAAGTCCGACGAGAGCAGATACAAATTCATTGCTTTAACTAATTATGACAAATGTTAAGAATGTAATGACTTTTTAAATACGTTACGTTGGCTCACAATTTGTTAGCTACGCTATCCTTACGAACCGCATAGCATATAATTACAGCAGTATGTACCGGTATGTTAGCTAGCTATCTAACGTTAGTTGGCTACTAAATACGTCGAACTTGCCAGTATATGAACTATATGCTATCTAACTAACTACCCAACGTTTATTGACTTGATTATTCACGTCATTCTTAACTAAATCGTATAGTTGTGCGTTCTCAATGGACATTGTTAATTCGCTCTCTACTCCGATTTCAGAACCCTCGTCTGAGTGTGCCAGAGCGCAGAATAACAGATTAATTTACGAACGCTCAACACCCGTTGAATATGGCCGGTCAGTAAACGTCGGCAAAAAAGCATAATGAAATTGTTGCTAGCAGCACAATTAGTCATCAACGCTCTGGATAACATGAAAACAGCCTAGCCAGCGCTGATAGGGTGAGTAAAACGGTCAGAGTGAGGTGTTCTCTCTTGTGTTTGGAAGTAGCTAGCAAGCTAGCCAACATTAGGCAGTTAGCTTGGGTGCTTGACAGCCGTTGTGAGGTCAGAACGCTCAGATCAACCCTACTCCTCCGCCAGAGCATCCAGTGTGCGCTCAAACACTCAAATCAAAATCAAATCATTTTTTATTTGTCACATGCGCCGAATACAACAGGTACCTTACCGTGAAATGCTTAACCAACAATGCAGTTCAAGAAATAGAGCTAAGAAAAGATTTACTAAATAAAGTAAAGTGAAAAAAAAATACAAAAGTAACACAATAAAATAATAACGAGGCTATATAAAGTGGGTACCGGTACCGAGTCAATGTGCGGCGGTACAGGGGTAGACGAGGTTATTTGTACATGTAGGGGTAAAGTGACTATGCATAGATAATAAACAGCGAGTAGCAGCAGTGTAAAAACAAAGGAGTGGGTGGCAATGTGAATAGTACGGGTGGCCATTTCATTAATTGTTCAGCAGTTTTATGGCTTGGGGATAGAAGCTGTTAAGGAGCCTTTTGGACCTAGACTTGGCGCTCCGGTACCGCTTGCCGTGCGGTAGCAGAGAGAACAGTCTATGACTTGGGTGACTGACCATTTTTTGGGCCTTCCTCTGACACAAATTAATGATCTCGGAAAAGATTTGTAATGTTATACTTGTTGTTGACGAAATTCATGCTAATGTTGGGTTTTTGAGCTAGCGCCCAATTGACTCCCATTCGCTCCTTGAAGAAGCACTCGCCTTGTACCAGCTCAGAATACACCGCGCGGCCCATTGACGACGCATGGGCAACGTACACAATGGGCGTTAATACGATTCCAATGGTGTTTCACGTCTCCTCAAAAGTATCTCTGTAGCTACTTACCCTAAACCTGGAACATCGATGAGCGTGATTTGAATGTTTGAACCCAACATAAAGTTCAGAAAATTAAACACTGTCACGTGACACCCCAAATGTGTGGGTGCACTCGATTTAGCTCGACCCCCGGCCCGCGCGTTGAATTGGTTTGCACTAAATAGACGGGTTGGTTGTTTACATTTTAGTCATTTAGCAGGCGCTCCTATCCAGAGTGATTTAAAGCAGCAATTGGGGTTAAGTGCCTTGCTCAAGGGAACATCAACAGATGTTTCACCCAGTCGGCTTGGGGATTCGAACCAGTGACCTTTCAGTTACTGGCCAAATGCTCTTAACCACTAGGCTAGCCTCAAAACCGATGCATGTGCAACTATGGGTCAAAACAGACGGGTTGGCTTAGATTGTTGACAACTATATTTAATCTCCAATGTTTATTGAAAACATAAATAAATTTGAACAATGAGCACTTGTTGTCTCTCAAATACATCATTACAGTTGTTGGTTATCTAGCTAGCGAATTTTAGCCATATTTGCATTGACATGAAATCAGTCAAAACACCTCAAAACAAGACATGGTATCAAGAACAAGATTAAACTAGCTGAAACGAGTCACCTTCTATTCCCCACATTTCTTGTCATTTTCGTGAAGTTGTCAGCTAACCCATCTATAGCACAGCCAGAAAGTAAAGTGGTAAAAAAGTATGAAATCAAAAATGAGCTTTTTGTTCTTAAAGGGCAATTCTGCCACTTTTCAACCTCATAATTATTATCTCCAGCACAAAACCAGTGTCTACATATGTGAAAACACCGCGTTTCTATGATCTGTGGTTAAAAAGATGAGAAGAAATCTCCTTTTAAAAAATGTATGTGAAATCATGGTAGGATTAAAAGTAAAAACAAAACCAGTGATTTTCAAAGCTTGCAACAACTTTCTAGCCAGGGGGGTGGTATTTACTTGCTCCCCACATCAACGCAAATCTCATAGTGTTTTAAAATCACTGTTTTAAAAATAATGAACTTAATTTAAAAAATTCTACAAAACGTGCCATTTTCACATATGTAGACACTGGTATTGTGCTGGAGATAATAAAAATGAGGTTGAAAAGGGGTGTAATTGGTCTTTAAATTAAGGTTAGGATTAGGCATATGGTTAGCAGTGTGATTAAGGTTAGGGTTAGGTTTAACATCTGATTTTAAGAATACAAATTGTAGAAATAGGCGGGGTCACAGCCATATATTTAGAGAGTTAGGCCAACTTATTGGATATTGTTCTAATTCTAGACATTGTTACATAGCATTGTTTAAACATGTCCCATGTAATGTTAATGAAGAGCTAACATGGTTGCCATATAATGTTGTAGTGTCATGTAAATGCTCATAATGCTCATTGCAGACATTTAGTTTTATAGTATTTTAACTCTCCATGTAGCCTAGTGTTAATGGGGAGCTAACATGGCTGACGTAGAATGTTGAAGTGTCATGTAAATGCATCATAATGTAGAAACTGCATTGGCCCAACTTGCTAAATACATGGCTTTGGGCGGGGTTTATGACTTTGTGATTGTGTTAGCTAGTGAAGATCCACTGAATCGGAATGACCAAAAAGTGTCATTTTTAAACTACACAAATTAATAAGCAATTCATTTGCGATTTTATTTTAATATAGAGCAATATAAATATTCAAAATACAGCAAAAGAGGTTGGGCCTATGAATTTAATATATTAAATATCTGTAATATTAGCGAGACAGAGAGAGGCTATGTGCACACTGCCCACAAAATATGAGAGAGAGAGAGAGAGAGCGAGAGAGAGAGAGAGAGATTAATTAGGTTTTTATGGGTTGTTCTTTCACCTGATACGGGCGTGGCTTCAGTGACACTGGTAAAAGGGCGGAACTGTGGCCCTTGTGATTTGTTTAAAGGTCCTGGGTGGTACAGGGTACTCTCCATGGACTCAGACTGTCAGCCTCACTAAAACTGTCAGCGGTGTTTAAATTCCTTTGGACCTATCCAGCATGTCAAACGCGGACAGAGTTGTGTTAGCTCTCGGTGGGGCAGGAACAGTGGGTTCTGGAATAGTTAAAGCACTCCTCGACAAAGGTAAGTTCGGAATAGTTAAAGCACTCCTCGACAAAGGTAAGTTGTCCTTATTGAGTTAGGGAGCATATGGAGACTTGAAACAATTACACCTGCGTCAAGACAATGCCCCCGCCCGCGATTAATGGGCCGGATGAAATTGTGCAACGTAATTTATAATTTCCGGTGCGCAAAATATGTAGGATATATGAAGAGGTCTACTAAATCGTATGCTGTGTGCGCCATTTGACTCATGGTCATTGTTGGGTGGATCAACATGGCTCTGCTGGGAAGTAGTTGTTTTGTTTGTGTTTCTCAAGTAATGTTGTTGGGTAATAGATGAAAAAGACTGAGTAATTGAGACTGCCCGGGAAAAAAGGATGAGGCTACCGTTCGTTGTCAATGTGAATTGTCACGGCGCATAAAATAACCGGCCTCTCCTTTACGCACAGACTTCAAGTTGTGATTCTCCTAAATGTCCAAAAACTTGATGTTGTCTTGAGGTGTTTAAATCCAACTAGCAGTTAACATCGTGAGTAATGTAAATACATTGTTGTATTTTCGTCAAAACAGGCTTAGGCTAGGCTATCTTCGTTTAATGTTTTCACACAGGTTTCTCGGGATGCGATAGATAATAAATGTATGGTGGATCGAAATATCACGACGAGTTGATTGCTTGGTATAGCCCTTTTCATTTATACCACACAGTCATTCCTCAGGTGACAAGTTGCCTTAAGGGTCTTCATCGCTTGTCAAGTGGACATTCTGGTTTCTTGAACATTGTAGTTTGTTGAATAGTATAATATATTGTACATGACTCTCTAAAATGTTATATGAACTAGATTTGGCAATAAGCAAACTGCAGCAAAATTACCCTTCTGTTTGCCACAGTCACATTTGTGAATGTCTGATCGTGAGTGTGTACTGTCCATGTTTCAAGGTTTCAAGGTGGCTGTCATATCCAGAGACAACAGCAGATTAGAGAAACTCAGGGGGTTTGTTTCTCCCTCCACCCGAGACAACCTCACCACCCTAGTCGGGAATGTTGGTAAGAGCACCCATTCACACTCCTTGGCAGACAATTTTACATAGACATATTTTAGAAATGAGAGTATTGTTGAAGGTATCCCATATCCCCAAAAAGTCGTGTATGGAAACACCTCTCAAACTCTTTATCTCAGGTTCAGAGGAGGGGGCAGAGGTGGTCAAGCAGTCCCTTCTGAAGTCTGTTGGCAAGGTCACAGACATTGTGTCATCTCTGGGGTTCAGCTGGTGGCAGGGTGGACCTCCACATACCCAGACGCTGAAAGAACTACACTGGGTGAGTCTTCCACACACCTCACCGACTAATCCATGATCCAGAGTTGATATCATCCCCATGAGCTTTTAAGCTGCTATGATTTCATTGTTTTAAATCTGCACTCCACAACCTTCCTCTCTTTTCTGTCAGTTCCACATCTATTTCGATTTCCCTCTCGTCTTGAATTCTTCCTCTCTCTCACTACTTTGTTCTCTGTATTAATCTATTTTAATACTTCTCATCCACCCATAGGTGATTGAGACATTGCTGTTCAGCACCTTTGTATCATGGAAGGTTTTCTTTCCACTGGTGAGAGACGACCCCAACTGCACCTACACCTTTATCACAGGTGAGTCTCCCACCTTGGCTCCTCCCTACATCCCAGCCAGTAGTAGTCCTTCTGAGTGTTCTGTGAAAGTGGTTGGACCATTTGAGTGACATCGGCAACACCTGTTAGTGCGCATGTCTTGAGGAACAACTTTCTTCCCCGCTTGATAACACACGATTTTGTCCATGCACATTACGCAGAGTATGGCTTTGGGGTTTTTGGGCAGTGATGTGTGCTGTGCCGCAGGTGGTGCTGGGGAGAAGCTGTTGATGCCAGGTACAGGGTTCCTGACTGTTGGCGCCGCCAGCACCCTGGCATTCTGTCAGGTACTACGAGAGGAGTACCCGGAAGTGCCCTGCAAACTCAACCAGGTGTGGCCAAGATCTATAACATAAAACCCCCATTGTTTGGTTAGATAGTTAGCTAGGGTATATTAAGGATCGTGCTATCAGTTGCAGAAGTTGTCTCAATCTGCCCAAATAACAATTGCCAGTAAAAGTTGTATGCAACATTGATCCTGAATACACCCTTCCCTTGTCTTGTTTGTTGGTTCATATACACAGAGTATACAAAACTGCTCTTTCCATGACAGACTGACCAGGTGAATCCAGGTGAAAGCTATGATCCCTTATTGATGTCACTTGTTAAATCCACTTCAATCAGGAAGATAAAGGGGAGGAGACAGGTTAAAGAAGGATTTTTGAGACAATTGAGACATGGATTGTGTATGTGTGCCATTCAGAGGGTGAATGGGCAAAACAAAATATTTAAGTGCCTTTGAACAGGGTGTTGTAGTAGGTGCCAGGCTCACTGGTTTGTGTCAAGAACTGCAAAGCTGCTTGGGTTTTCATGCTCAACAGTTTCCGTGTGTATCAAGAATGGTCCACCACCCAAAAGACATCCAGCCAACTTGACACAACTGTGGGAAGCATTGGAGTCAACATGGGCCAGCATCCCTGTGGAACACTTTCGACACCTTGTAGAGTCCATGCCCCGATGAATTGATGCTGTTCTGAGGGCAAAAGGTGGTGCAGCTCAATATTAGGTGTTCCTAATGTTTTGTACACTCTGTACAGCAGATTGGCTATCATTAACCAACAGTGGTGGAAAAAGTACCCAATTGCCATACTTGAGTAAAAGTCAAGATACCTTAATAGAAAAAGGACTTGTGAAAGTCACCCAGTAAAATCTTACTTGAGTAAAAGTATTTGGTTTTAAATATACTTATACTTAAGTATCAAAAGTAAATGTAATTGCTAAAATATACTTAAGTATCAAAATAAAAAATTCCTTTATATTAAGAAAACCAGACAGCGCAATTCTTTTACTTTTTTTATTTACGGATAGCCAGGGGCACACTCCAACTCTCAGACATAATTTACAAATGAAGCATTTGTGTTTAGTGAGTCCGCCAGATCAGAGGCGTAGGGATGACGAGGGATGTTCTCTTGAGAAGTGCATAAACTGGACACTTTTCCTGTCCTGCTAAATGTAACGAATACTTTTGGGTGTCAGAGAAAATGTATGTAGTAAAAAGCACATTATTTTCTTTAGGAATGTTGTGTAGTAAAAGTTGTCAAAAATATAAATAGTAAAGTACAGGTACCAAAAAAACTACTTAAATAGTACTTTAAAGTATTTTTACTTAAGTAATTTACACCACTGTTATCCAATGCCAACTGGCTTCCATTCACTTGCTCTCTCAGGTAAAGATCAACACCGGTGTGGCCCTTCCAGAGCGCATGGCTCCTGGTTACCTGAACCACCTGGACCTTGGTGAGGCTGTGGCCACGTTGGTGGAGAGAAAGAACACCACCCACACAGTGTTCCCTGTCAACTCCCCGGCAGACTTAAAAACCGTCATTCTAGAGGGTAACCTTTAAGGCTTCCCCGCTCTGCCATAAGTCCCTGCAGACTCTCAAAACTATAGTGCTTGAGTCATTCCACATCCATTTTACTGTATAGTCGGTAATGTGATTGTTTTCTTTGCATGTCAAATTATAACCCTAACCCTGTAAGGAAGATGCCAAGCTTATGTGACTTCATGCCAGCTTCTGCATAGTCCTTCATTGTTCCAGTGCACTAATAACCACATAATGCACTACCTTCCTGGACATCAATGGAGCTGTTTAGGTGCATAGTAGATTATTTAGATACACCCTGTTGGGAAAATGCAGGATGACTCTGAGATGAGGCAGCAAAAGACGGCGGGGGGACAGGGAGGGTAGACTGTAGGGGTGGCGATGGGGTTATGTGGCACATTTGTGTCCCCCTAGCGTGACTCTCTGTCCTGTTCACAGGCACCCACCCCCTTTATCTGGGACAGCACATTCCGTAAATAAACAATGCGGGGTGAGGAGGTGGAAGGTCTGATAGAGGGAAAATAAATATCAGAGTGCATTGTTGTCTTTGTTTACTGTTCTATTAATGGCATACATGCTTTAGCAACAATAATGTATATTTGTTATGCCAATAAAGAAACCTGAATTGTGTCAAGGCAACACTAACTAAATGAGGGGGGCTTATGTAGTTGGGTCAGAGGTTGTTGGCAGTGGTTTTGTTTTGACCGTGTCGGCTGACAGCTCAATTAGGCCAACTTTTAATGAACCGCGGGGGAGAATCCGCCAGTCTTTCTCGCTCCATCACACACAAACACATTTACACACACTAATGCCTATATACCCTCCTGTATGATGCCCTTTCTTATTCTAATAGAAAAATATAAGTATTCTGTAGGGAGAGAACAAGGAGGGATGGTAGTGGGCTTACAAGTTCTTATAAGGCAGGTCAAATTGTGAATCAGCCTCTAAAAGAGGGCAAAGGGAGGAGGAAGAAGGGTGAAAAGGGATTTTTGAATGTATGGGAAAAGGACAGAGAGAGGTAACATGAGTATTTTAAGGGGAAGAAAGAGCAGGTTGTATGGCACCTGACCTCATTTGACATATCACTAAGGCATTCAAGCTGCAGTAGACAATGGGTGCAGTTCTTCATCAAATAAAAGAGCAGACAGAACTACAGATGTAATTCAATAAGTACTGTAAATGATTGAAATGCAACTGATTAATTGCACTACTTAAGTGTAATACGTTAATGCCTGGGCTGGGCCTTTACCTGATGACACAATAAATCACTGAGGACAGGCTGAAGCCATGGTAAGGAGCGAGGCAGAACGGTTAAAAAGTGGCCGTCAAATTTCTCCTCTGGTTTTCATAAAAAAATTGGACTGACCCAGACTCCTCAAAAGATGGGAATCAGCTAAGGGATTGAAATATTGAAACAGACGGAAAAACAAATATGAGATGTTGGCCGTATCATGCTCTCCTTTCCGTGCGAGTGTAGCAAGTCCTTACCAAAATGGTTATTTAGTTTTACATTTCTAAAAACACATGCCTCATATTCACAGGCCAAAAGACATCACAACACACAGTTAGGCTGACAAACAGACAGGCAACAGATTAACTTGACACGTTTTGGGAAAATACAATTTAGATTTCGAATAAGAACATGTGTGCATGTGTATCATTTAAGCACGTGCAAGTGTTTTTGTGTCTTAGTTACAATTCATCTTAGTTACGATGATGTGTGTGTGTGGTCCCACATATGACAGATAGGGGAACAACTCTTAGAGTGGTGTGATGACAGAGAGAGCAGAGTGATCTATCTGTTGAATGCTGTGTCTAATAAAAAACAGATGGTTATTTGGTGTTTTTGGAAACCAGTGATATAGGCTTACACACTCCAGAGACATTTGTCACATCCGTGGCCAGCTCTGAGGTCAGAGGGAGATGGAAAGGGCAGTTAATCTCACGCAACCATCATCAGGGTGTGGCCACACATACACAGTTTTATCAGATAAGTTCCCAATGTTGACATGAACAGTAGATGTCAGCAGGCGGTGACAATGGGATGACAAATGCACTGGGTAGCTGTCATTCATGCTTTCCAGGGCACTGGCCATGGTCCTTATATGAGGAAGATCACACCTCACAGATGCTTATTTCACCTTTATTTAACCAGGTAAGCCAGTTGAGAACAAGTTCTCATTTACAACTGCGACCTGGCCAAGATAAAGCAAAGATAAACTGCTCCCTCTGGTATAGATCACACAAAAGAGCAAGGACACTACACCCCACACATGGTTATAGGCTGATATAACAGACTACCAGTGGTGTAATGGTGTAGCCCTTGGGGTCTGGATTGTTATCTGCCAAGGTTATAGCAGCACCCACCCCCATTCCGGTTAAAGGGATTCCCTCAGAGTCCCCTATCATGAATTCCGCTGCTGTACCTCCTGTACTTTTCACTGTGAGTGTTATGACTATTTCTGCATTTTTAGTTTGGGATACCGTGTATCTAGGCACTTGTTCAACCCATTTTTTGTATCAACCAGGGATAGGCAACTCCCCTAGGCCTGTATCAATACACCCAGTCACTTCAAAGATACAGGCGTCCTTCCTAACTCAGTTGCCAGAGAGGACGGAAACCGCTCAGGGATTTCTTCATTGAGGCCAATGGTGACTTTAAAACAGAAACATAGTTTAATGGCTGTGATAGGAGAAAACTGAGGATGGATCAACAACATTGTAGTTACTCCACAATACTAACATAAATAACAGAGTGAAAAGAAGGAAGCCTGTACAGAATACAAATATTCCAAAACATGCATCCTGTTCGCAATAAGGCACTAAAGTAAAACTGCAAAAAATGTGGCAAAGAAATTAACTTTATGTCCTGAATACAGTGTTATTTTTGGGACCAACACAACACATCACTGAGTACCACACTTCATATTTTCAAGCATGGTGGTGGCTGCAACATGTTATGGGTATGCTTGTCATCGGCAAGGACTAGGGAGGTTTTAATAGGATACAAATAAATGGAATAGAGCTAAGCACAGGCAAAATCCCAGAGGAAAACCTGATTTAGTCTGCTTTACAATTGAAACTGGGAGACAAATCCACCTTTCAGCAGGACAATAACCTAAAACACAAGGCCAAATACACACTAGAGTTGCTTACCAAGACGACATTGAATGTTCCTGAGTGGCCTAGTTACACTTTTGACTTTATATCGGCTTGAAAATCTATGGCAAGACTTGAAAATGGCTATCTCGCAATGTTCAACAACCAACTTGACAGAGCTTGAATAATTATTTAATGAATAATGGCAAATATTGTACAATCCAGGTGTGCAAAGCTCTTAGAGACTTACCCAGAAAGATTCACAGCTGTAATCGCTGCCAAAGGTGATTCTAAAATGTATTGGCTCAGGGGTGTAAATATTTCTGTATTTCATTTTCAATAAATCTCCAAACATTTCTAAAAACATGTTTTCACTGTGGCATTATGGGGTTTTGTGTGTAGATGGGTGATAAAAATAAAAATAAGTCAAGGGGTATGGATACTTTCTGAAGGCACTGCACATGTACAGTGGGGAGAACAAGTATTTGATACACTGCCGATTTTGCAGGTTTTCCTACTTACAAAGCATGTAGAGGTCTGTAATTTTTATCATAGGTACACTTCAACTGTGAGAGACGGAATCTAAAACAAAAATCCAGAAAATCACATTGTATGATTTTTAAGTAATTAATTTGCATTTTATTGCATGACATAAGTATTTCATACATCAAAAAAGCAGAACTTAATATTTGGTACAGAAACCTTTGTTTGCAATTACAGAGATCATACGTTTCCTGTAGGTCTTGACCAGGTTTGCACACACTGCAGCAGGGATTTTGGCCCACCTCTCCATACAGACCTTTTCCAGATCCTTCAGGTTTCGGGGCTGTCGCTGGGCAATACGGACATTCAGCTCCCTCCAAAGATGTTCTATTGGGTTCAGGTCTGGAGACTGGCTAGGCCACTCCAGGACCTTGAGATGCTTCTTATGGAGCCACTCCTTAGTTGCCCTGGCTGTGTATTTCGGGTCGTTGTCATGCTGGAAGACCCAGCCACGACCCATCTTCAATGCTCTTACTGAGGGAAGGAGGTTGTTGGCCAAGATCTCGCGATACATGGCCCCATCCATCCTCCCCTCAATACGGTGCAGTCGTCCTGTCCCCTTTGCAGAAAAGCATCCCCAAAGAATGATGTTTCCACCTCCATGCTTCACAGTTGGGATGGTGTTCTTGGGGTTGTACTCATCCTTCTTCCTCCAAACACGGCGAGTGGAGTTTAGACCAAAAAGCTCTATTTTTGTCTCATCAGACCACATTACATTCTCCCATTCCTCCTCTAGATCATCCAGATGGTCATTGGCAAACTTCAGACGGGCCTGGATATGCGCTGGCTTGAGCAGGGGGACCTTGCGTGCGCTGCAGGATTTTAATCCATGACGGCGTAGTGTGTTACTAATGGTTTTCTTTGAGACTGTGGTCCCAGCTCTCTTCAGGTCATTGACCAGGTCCTGCCGTGTAGTTCTGGGCTGATCCCTCACCTTCCTCATGATCATTGATGCCCCACGAGGTGAGATCTTGCATGGAGCCCCAGACCGAGGGTGATTGACCGTCATCTTGAACTTCTTCCATTTTCTAATAATTGCGCCAACAGATGTTGCCTTCTCACCAAGCTGCTTGCCTATTGTCCTGTAGCCCATCCCAGCCTTGTGCAGGTCTACAATTTTATCCCTGATGTCCTTACACAGCTCTCTGGTCTTGGCCATTGTGGAGAGGTTGGAGTCTGTTTGATTGAGTGTGTGGACAGGTTTATACAGGTAACGAGTTCAAACAGGTGCAGTTAATACAGGTAATGAGTGGAGAACAGGAGGGCTTCTTAAAGAAAAACTAACAGGTCTGTGAGAGCCGGAATTCTTACTGGTTGGTAGGTGATCAAATACTTATGTCATGCAATAAAATGCAAATTAATTACTTAAAAATCATACA